AACTGCTTTCCTCCTAGTTCGTTTTAATTGCTGTGCAATCAATGAAATCTTTTGGAGATTTTACATACATGTCACTAATAACAGCCTGATATTAGAGAATATACCTTCCTTTAGAGGCAAATGAACTTTCAGAATAAATATTTAGGACACAAAGAAAACAGTTTCCATAAGGTGGAAATATTTAAAATGGCACACATATCAATTCCAAGATAAATGAATGCAAAGGATAGACAGAGAACACCATAAACATGGATAGCATTGTTGGGTGAAAAACAAAATTGAAAAATAAGAAAACTCTTCTACCTGGAAATTTAACAACCTGTTGTTACATAATTCTATATTGAAAGGGGAACTACAAACAGAAGAAATTCCTGAAATATAATGATGGTAAAAACACTATTTATCAGAATCTATAGAAAGCAGTAGAAAAAATATGTAGCCTTAACATCTGTATCAATAAAAATGAAAGAATAAACATAAGTGAAATTAAAGTTGTAAATCAACTAGAAAATAACAGCAAAATAAACCAAAAGAGAGGACAAGAAATGATACAGATGAAATAAATTAGTAGGGTGAATAGAAAAATAGCACATTAAAAAAAATTCTGGTCCTTTGAAAAATTAACAAAAGAACAAACCCCTGACCCAAACCCCTGACCAATTTCTTTAAGGTGGGGGAAAAATACACAAATATAAAAAAAATGAGAAATAATAAGAGGAATGGCTACTAATGCTGAGGAAATAAAAAAACCAAAAAATGTTATTCAAATAAATTTGAAAACCTAAATGATACAATTTCTTAGGAAAATGTGGCTATAGGAATCAATCTCAGTAGAAATAGAAAGCCTAAACAGAACAATTTTAATAAAAGAAATAAATGAAAAGGTTAGCAAGAAACATCCCACAATGATTTATAGACGTAGATATAGATGGAGAGAGAGGAAAAACAAATGATAAACTAATAGGGCAAAATGTTAATAATAGGTAAAAATATGGATAAAAGATATATAGACACATGTATGTATTTATGTATACTTTGTCCAGATTTTTCTGTATTTATATATGTCTGTGTTCTTTGAACTATTTTCATAATTTTTACAATTTTAGGTACAGTAATTATTTCTAAATAGTTTTTTAATTCAGAAACATATATAGTACCATCTAATTTTTATAAATGAATATAATTACCTGTGTAATCTAAATGATTTATATTATAAATACACATTCACATACATGCATGCCCCCCAAAGCATTAAATAGCTATTTCCAAACAGGTGGGATTTTAGATATTTTTATGCATTATCTTTTTTGCTTCTTTTTATTTCTTTTCATGAGCTTTTCTTTTGGCTTAAGATAATAATTTCATTAATTTGAGTTTTCTAAAGCATTGTTTATAATAGTGTAAGAGTAGAAATAATTTAAATGGCCACCAATAGATGGATGACCAAGCTAAAAATAACAAGATAAAAATGACAAAAATTAATGAAAAAAAAGATGCTTATTCTCATTTTAAAATTTGACCTATTCAGAATTCCTGTGGCACTAACAGGAAAATCTTATTTCTGAAATTGTAATTGTTAGAAATAATAAAAAACAATCACTGACGTTTTTCCTAAATACAGAGAAAAGACGCATTGAAGCAAGCATAAATCTTAATCATAGTTTTTAATGCTTTCTAAACAAATTAGTAAAGGAGGAACAAGCAGCAGTAACTTCAGTTCCTATTTCCCCTATCTGGTACTGTTAACTTTCACTTATGATTATTTAACAAAGAACATTCAAGGTTGGAGGAGTTAAAAGCCATACTCTTTGGTGGTAATAAGGTTCTCTCAGTGCCTCATTGTTTGCACAGAGGGCTGAGCACATCCTTTGTCAACGCTGTGCAGTTTGCTTTCATGGGATTGTTCGTGCTACCATGTTATTTGAGTATTATTTTTCTGGAGATGGGTAGTGCTTTTTTATGTTGCATTCTAAGTAATTTCCCATTCTTTAATTTTCTCTGCAGCTTGGCTACTATCCTGTTTAACTCATCCACTCTCTCTGAGGTTTTCTATTTTTAATTTCTAGAACTTTTCTTTTATTCCTGGCCAATTTTATTGTTCCTGTTTCCCTTACCGTATTTTACATACTTTTAGCTTTTAAATATATTCAAGACACTTAAATTTTATATTCTGTATAATTCCAATATATATTGGTCTGGCTTATAGGTTTTGGGGAGGTTGATTTTCATTCATAGTGGCTTGTTTTCCTATGTGTGTAGTGACTTAAAAAAAAATGTCAGCTCATATTTCTGTAAGCTTATCACAGGGGATCCTTTGTGCTTGGATCAAAAGTGCATTTCTCCAGACAGCATCTGCATTTGCTTCTGCCTAGCACTACAGGTCCAAGCACACTTTTAGGTTAGCTTTTTCATGCTATCTGGGCAGAGCTAATCCTAGTCCCAAATTTATATGAACATGCCTTGTCATTTCTGCCTCCAGAAATTTTTACTTTCCACCAACTTGATCACACATTAGAAATTATGTATAAAACTGTGTTTCAGTTTTTTTAAGGTGGCTACATATGGAGGAGTTTCTCTGTGAATTTGATCTGCCATATTGTCCTTCTATAATTTGATTTGTTCAAGCTCCAGAATCATGTAGATCAAATGACTGAAGTTTATATTAGAAATATATCTATTATATATTATAGTATCATATTTGAATAACTGGAAAGGCAAATTCTCCTTATTGTTCTACATTGTCTTGATTCTTTCCAGAATTTAATTCATGTTTTAGAATCCATTGTCAAAATAAAAATATCTGGGAGAAGGGTGTTGACAGGCATTGTGTTCAGACTGTGTGTGTAAAATTTGGGAAGCACATTTCTAGTTAATATTCTTGTTAGGATTTTCCCCCCAATTTGGAGACATCTTGTTTTTTCCCATTATAGTTTCTACCTAGTTATTTTGAGATTACTAGCTATTTTGAAACACATGTTTTTAGTATCTCATTTGTACTTAACAGCTCTTAACAATTTTTGTTTTGGTCATAACATGGAAGTCTGCCAAAAACAACGGAAATAAAATAGTGCCTCCATTAATGACTTATTTTCAAAATACCCAATACTGCAAGGATCATTTCTGCTCTGCAGCCTGAGGAGCCCTCGAGGAGAAAATGCCAATTGCATTCCCTACCCCTTCCCCCCTTTAATGTTTGGAAAACAAGTGGAATTATTATGGTTCTTGAAGTAAACAACCAAAGATACCTTCTTGAAATGGATTTTCCCCAGGAATTCAATACCTCTATTCAGACCCCACACATTAAATGCTTCATTAAAGCATAGTTTCTAGTATTACTAACTGCTGTCATAAAAGATAATAGGCGGTTGTCACTTTCTTGGTTCACTCTCCAAATTGACAAAAGTCCACTCCATCCCTATCCCTGACCCCCCAGTATGAGAGTTTCACCTCCATAAAAAGAAAAAAAATTGAGAAACATGTCACTTTTCTGATTTGATGTCAACCTCCAATTCTTCAAAGTTCAAAAGCTATTTTCTGGGCAGCCCCGGTGGCCCAGTGGCTTAGCACCGCCTTCAGCGGGGCATGTAATCCTAGTGACCAGGGATCGAGTCCCACGTCGGATTCCCTGCATGGAGCCTGCTTCTCCCTCTGCCTGTGTCTCTGCCTCTCTCTGTGTGTCTCTCATGAATAAATAAATAAAATCTTAAAAAAAAAAAAAAAAGCTATTTTCTCCTTTGGCCACCCTCCCCCCACCCCACCCCCGTGGTTTGTCTATCTTAGTAGTTAGGTCTCAGCAAACATCCGTTGAATTTTAACCGCGAAGCGTTTGGGATGGAAGTCAAGAGTCCTCGGGTGTCATGAGCACGGTATGGAGGTGCACACAAGGGGTGTCTTTCCATAACGGCAGCTTTATTCAGTCACAAAGGCAAGGGTAACATAAATACAAAGCAGTTTCGGGATTCCAAAGTCAATGCGATTTCCTTAGTGTTCCACTTCGGTTTCTTACACAACATCACGCAGATCACAAGAGAATCACGTACCAAGATAAAACGTAGGGGCTAGGAAGCCAGGGAAGCAAGCTCGCAGTCGTGTCGTGAGCGTGCAGTTGAGACAGGGCCTCCCTCCGGTCTGGGTCAGCTCTGAGCACCTGCTGCCCACTACGTTTAACGAGCGAAGAAGGATCTCTGTTCGATCCCAAGGCCATCCGGGCAGGGCCTCCGGGGCGGCTGCCGTTCCCACGCGGTCAGAGGGGAAAGGGCCTGCATCCGTTTGCAGCAAGTCTTGCCAGTTTGCTGCAAAAAATCTTCCCTTTTCAAAGGCGTCGGATCAGTGTGGGGCCTTTGCAGGCCTCCTGTGGGGCACCAGCTCGGGGCACCAGCTCGGGGCACCAGCTCGGGGCCTGCGGGGGCCCCGTCTTGGCTGCTTACACGGCGGCCTGACCTAGGTCCTGCTGCACAGCAGTGACTCCACCTTCATTGCTGCGCAGGCTTGACTAACACCCATGATAAGATGGAATCCTCCTCCACAAGTGAGCGATGATACGTTTGCTTTGGTTTCAAGACTTTTCTTCCCCCTCAAGCACCTAGTTTATCTTTTGCTTCCCCGAAAAGCGTCGTTTCCAACATCCAGAAACCTCGTAAACCCGTGGAGATGACTTCTTCGCCCTCGGATTGCCGCGGTAATAAAGACAGGCGAGCCCGAAGGCCCTGCCCCGCCCCGGACGGAGGGAAGGCCTCTGGGCCCTGCGCCAAAGACGAGTCGTCCATCCCTCGGCGGCGGCGTCGATCCGGGGGCGCGGGGAACCCCCGAGGTCAGGGCGCGGGCGTCGTCAAGGGCGGGAAACCCCGAACCACCCGGCGGCTCCCGAGGCCCGTCCTCCCGCTCTCACGCCCCCGGGGCCCTGCGCGCGGGGCCTCCCCACGCTCTCTTCCGGGAGGAGGCGGGGCTACGCTCCCGGCGCGTGACGCAGCACGTCCCGGTATAAATACGAGGCGCGCGGCCGCGGCTTCCTCTTCCGATCGCCCGGCCGGCTCCCAAGATGGCGCCGGTGAGTGCGCGTGGGTTTCCGTGGGCGCTTGAGACGACCCGCGCGGGGGTAGAGGGGGGTTTTGCGTCTGGCGAGTTGGGGGAAAACCTATCATTTGAGGCAAAGGGAGGGGAGGAGGGGAGGCCGGGGCGGCGGCACGAGAAGGTTGTGAGTGGTGGTGTCCGAGACGCCTGGCGGCTGCCACGCTGTCGAGCGGAGTTGGCCTAGGATGGTGGGTGGCGGGGGCCGCGCGAGGAAGGAGGAGGCCCGACGGCCGGCGGGGCGGGGGGCAGCGCGGGCGCGTCCCGGCGGTGCGGGTGAGGGCCGCCCGGCCCGGCCGAGGTGCGCGCCGCAAGGACGCGGGTAGTCGGGCCGTCCGGCGGGGGCCTCGGGGCCGGAGCCCGCGGAGCTGCGCGGTTCCCTCGTGAACGAATCTCTCTACAACGAAAAGTCACGACCCGCAGATCCAGGAGGTTTTAGTTGTATTCACTGGTTATCAAGGGGGTCAGTCAGAAAGATGCAAACTCCAGCCCACAGGGGATCTGCAAAGGTAGGTGTATGTCGCCAATTTACCAGTTCTAGGATTTCGGTTCTTTTTTTTTTTTTTTTTTACTCCTTTGGTACAAGTTATTCGACTCCCTGAAAGCTCACTTGTTACTACCTGGTGTCCATTCGGGTGGATATGACTTGGAATTGTATCCTCGGATGGTGACCTGGTTGTTTGCAGCATGTTGTCCGAATGTATGTTGGCAGTAGCTGCAGCAGCATTTAACTTGGCGTAGCCCGGTTATGTGCATCGGGCTAAGTTTCGGGTGTGGAAGATTAAAGTATGCGTGTTTTTTAAATTAAAAAAAAAAAGGGGGGGGGCCGCCCGGGTGGCTCAGCGGTTTAGCAGCGCAGGGCGTGATCCTGGGGACCCCGGATCGAGTCCCACGTCGGGCTCCCTGCATGGAGCCTGCTTCTCCCTCTGCCTGTGTCTCTGCCTCTCTCTCTGTCTCTCATGAATAGATAAAATCTTTTAAAAGTAAAAAAAAGAAACTTTTGAAAAAAGTTTACAAGACTTAAGGTACAGCACCACCCCCACCACCCCCACCTAGAACGATATAAGGATTTCATTCTCTAGACTTGAATGGTTAGAATTTCCTATTCTGGCCTGTAATCCAGCTTGGCGAGCCAAGGTACCCTACCTGTGTCCCACAGGGCCTGACCTGTATTAAAAGGGTACCTGGTAACTTAAGATTGAACGTCGGTGGTCTGGAAAATACTAATAAAGGCCGTGACACTTCTCTTGATGTGTGAGACAGAATGGGCTTGATAAGAGGTTCGAACCAACCCCGGGTGGTGGTTCAGTTTGAATATACAGAAGAAAGTAAAGTTATAGGAGTCTTTGAGGGTTTCTGGTGAAAGGAACTTAAGAGTAGCTTGCCACATGCTTTGAGCTCTCTTTGAGTTTTGCACTTTTGAGACACTTAGATGGGGCACAGTGGAAATTCCCATTGGATTTCACAAAAACCCGGGTTAAACCAAATTGAGTGTACCCGTTTTCAGACAGGACCGCCTGGCTAAGAAAAAGGGTATATATCCAATAGCTATTTAGCAATTTTTTAGGATTTTGCAGGGTTTCATATATATATGTATATATATATATATAGAGAGAGAGAGAGAACATTGTACATCTTTGGACTGATAACAGATTTTAAAGTTTTGTATAGACATGCGGTAAACTGAGTAGTTACGGTTATGTTACCTCTGTAACAGAAAGACAAGAAGCCTAAGAAGTCAACCTGGAAGTTTAACTTGGACCTTACCCATCCAGTAGAAGATGGAATTTTTGATTCTGGAAATTTTGTAAGTATCCCTCTACTCAGCTTGTTTTTATCATTGTAATAGAGTTCTTAATGAAATAAGTGTGTAATATTTGATTTTAACCTGAGCTCTATTCCTAGGGTACCTTCCCTAGTGAATATCTAGGGTTTTCTTCCCTAGTTTTGCATTTTTTCTCTGTTGTAAAATAGGAACAGTTTCTCCGGGAGAAGGTTAAAGTCAATGGAAAAACTGGAAATCTGGGGAATGTTGTTCACATTGAACGCTTCAAGAATAAAATCACGGTAGTTTCTGAGAAACAGTTCTCTAAAAGGTTGGTATTTGTTTCTTGTAATACTAACAAACTTTAACAATGTTAGATGTTTTAATATTAGAATATGTTGTAGGAAACATTAGTCTAATGTGTAACATGAAACTAATGTCCCAAACTAAATAATGTTTTGTTATATAAGGCTTTAGTGGTGTATGTAGTAGAGGCAGCCAGTGAAAGGTAAAGTCTATTTTGCCAGTTTTAGTTAGTCTAATTTATTCAACAGATATTAAGTGCTAACATGAAAGCACTCTTGTAGGACCAGATAGCCAAGCAGGCAAGTACCTACCACTAAGGAGCTTGAATTCTAGTGGAAAGAGACCATGAAATGTGATACTAAGTAGTTGTAAGTGCTGTGTAATGCATAAAGAGGATTTCAGGGTTCGTGTTTTTAGTAAGATGCTCAAGGAAATCATCTGAATGAAGTGCTGGAGTGAGACATGCAATTTAGAGAATTCATAATTGTAACTGGAAAAGATTGATGGTAGAAGCTGACGACTGTGGACCTATTGTGAGGACAGGTGCACTGGTGGTGGCTTGGACTGAAACAGCAGTGCATGTTAGCTGTGTGGTTATGAGTTCATCATTAGGGATCCAGGGATGAAAGGTAATGCTAGGAAGCATCTTAATCTCAGACATGCACATGATTATAAAATGCAATGCTGTAATTGCTGTGGCAAAAGTAGAGGTAGGGCATAAGAATTTGCAGAGAACCTGAGATGAGCAGTGTCAGGCTGTGGAATGAGGGAACAGCATTAAGAAAGGACAGGGAAGCTTGAGAAATGGGTGGTAGTTCAGAATCGCCTGTAAAGTGTAAATGGAAGAGAATGGCTGGAATGATGAAATTAGACTGTGCTGAAAGCTTTTTATAAGAATTGAGCCATATGCTAGTTCTAAGTGTGTCGATAACTGAACTTCTAAACAGGTTCAGCCCTCTTGATAGGTTTCCTTTTGTTGATTGATCATAGGATTGAGATAGGGAGATTGATAGTGGTGATAGGAAGGTAATCTGGTTATGGTAGTAAAACTGAAGAGAAGCTACTATTGGTCTTTGTATCTTCAACAAAAAGGATGTTTATTTTAGGGAGATGAGAGAATAGTTTGTAGGGCATCAGCTGATTGTAACTTGGTTTGAGAGGCTACCTTATTCTCATATTCCCAGCAACCTTGCACAATGCATGATACAAATATTTTGGGGGAACATTCAAGATGAATACAATTGCATATTTTCTATATTATCTTTTGCATCGTAAATACGGTATTTCTTAATGAGATTTGTGTTTTTATTTTAAAAGGTATTTGAAATATCTTACCAAGAAATACCTTAAGAAAAACAATCTTCGTGATTGGCTTCGTGTGGTTGCATCTGACAAGGAGACTTATGAACTTCGTTATTTCCAAATTAGTCAAGATGAAGATGAATCTGAGTCTGAAGACTAGTGAGGCTGCCCCTTACAGGGCTTTGCTTCCTAAGAAAAATAAATGTAGCATGTAAAAGAAAGAAACAACTAGAAATGGACTTTTAGTTTATTGGTGAATTGAATAAAAAGCATTATACTGTGTATCTTAAGCATCTGCTTCTTTTAAGTGTATGCTGTTTATATGACTCCTGGAGTCCGGGGATCAAGTACCACCTCTGGCTCCCCTCGAGGAGTCTGCTTCTCCCCCTGCCTATGGTGTCTTCTGCCTCTCTCTGCGTTTCTCATGAATAAATAAAATCTATTTTTCTGAAAAAAAAGTGGTCATGTATCACTTAGTTCTCGGTGGATGGGCCCCGTTCCCCCAAATAAAATGGCCTTTGAGTGAAACAATGGCTTGGCAAAATCCAGATTATAAGAGGTGGAAGTGGGGCGGGGGGGTACTAAAGCCAGGTCAATTTTCTTGGTTTTCTGGTGGTCCCAGGCAATGTCTTTTTCTACTTTTAATCTGAAAGTGGTGTCAGTACCTTAGGTACTTGGGCCATGGGCCCTGATAGTAGAAAGTGGTTTGGGGAATGTTTGGAATAATTTTATCAAGAGTGTCAATTTTGATTATTAACTGTTGGAAGTGCTCCCCAACATTAATGTAGTGCTGTAGTACAGCAACTCCTTGGTTTCTCCCAGACAGTTGTAATAACCTCTAAACTGCCCTGTTTGAATTGTTCGTGTTTTCTACTGATAGTTACCAAGCTCTTTCTTTGCTTCCTTTGTTGAGCATTGTGGGTACGAGGGAGTAAAAACTGCCTACTCTCTGGTATGGTGAGACCACTGCCCAAATAATCCCATTAAAACTTAAGTACAACAAAGGAGAGGAGTTTATAAATGGAGTTTGATTTAGTCAAGGAAGGCAACGAAGCATTTGAGCTGACCTAGAACAGACCTGGTAACTGGGTAAAAACAAAGGGTGTTTCAGGCAGGACAGCATAAGTCCAGTTCTTGGGACAATGAGAGTCTTTGGTATAGGGTACCTCTGGAATAGTTATTGGTGGTTATGAGGAGAACTTGGGAAGATCGGTGAAAACCAGCCCGTGCAGGGCAGAAATCCCTGCTTTAACCTTAAAGCAATGGGAAACTACTGAATTTTAAGTAAACAGTAATGTGGTCCAATGAGACGCACATTTTGAAAGAGATGGTGGCTGCATTGTAGAGAATGGTTTTCAGAGGTCCTATCCACTGCAAGGAGACCAGAAGGTGGACGGCAACATCCCGTGGATGTGCTAGGTAGCACTGGGGTGTTGGGGGGGAAGGGGAGAAGCGGGTAGGTTTTAGAGATTTTTCAGAGGATAACCTCTGTGGGACTTGATTTGGTGGTAAGGGACAAGGGTGACAATTGTCTAGAAGCCATTTGCTGAGTTTGGTCACACAGTAAGAGAAGGCAGGAGTAGGGAGAAAGTTCATTTTAGGCCATGCTCAATTTGAGGTCCACAAGATGTCCTGAGGAAGGGTCTGAGTGAAGATGTCCACTAGTCGGGGTAGGTGGTAACACAGCAAGAGGGGTGGAACTGCCTGTAGAGTATAGAGTGAGGATGGAGTGTTCCAGACACCAACCGCCTCCATTCCTCCCTCCCCTAGATTAATCCTTTCAGATGATCTGGTGGTGATCTTTAGATGTTTAAAATTATTATTCAGAATTAATCAGGCCTGAGCACACTATGCCTTTAAAGAGTTGGCAGGTTAGTTGGGATCAGCAAATTCATTTATTTACATAATTTACTAAAAGCAGCTGCAAATAAATAAAAGCAGCTGCATAATGCAGTATCAAAACAGAAACACTTGTCTTTGTGAAGCTTTTACTCGAGGAAGACCGGAAAGTAGGACGTATGGTATGTGGTGAATATGAGAAAAATAAGGGAGATAGGGAATGTAGGGAGGAAGGAGTGTTGCACCATGTTGACTCCCTGCTCCAGGGGGAGCCTGCTTTTCCCTCCTCCCTGCTCCTGCTCTCTATCTCAAAAAAATAAAATAATTCTTAAAAAAAAAAAAAGCCTGAAGGAATAAGCTTGGCAATGGGTGGGTAGGGAGGGACAGGATGGGGTGTATGAGTTCAAAATGTAGCAGTGTAAAACTCAATGTATGGTTTCTGAGGATCAAAACCCCAAGATGCAGGCTTAGCTGGGTGGGTCTGATTGAGGATTTCGTGAAGTTGCGGTCAGACTGTGAGCTTTGGCTGCAGTCATGCAAAAGGTAGCAAACTACTGCCTGTTTTTTGTAAATAAAGTTTTGTTGGAACTGCAGTCCTGAACATTATTTTTCATATTGTATAAAATGGCAGAGTGTGTGTGTGTGTGTGTGTGTGTGTGTGTATTTAGATTCCACATATAGGAGAGATCATACAGTGTTTTTAATCTTTCTGGAACGTATTTCATTTAGAATATTGCCCTCAAGGTCTATCCTTGTCACCAATGTCAAGATTTCATTCTTTTGTATGGCTGAATAATATTTCACTGTGTGTATGTGTTGTCACAGAGTCTTTTTTTTTTTTTTAAGATTTATTTATTTATTTATTCATGATAGAGGCAGAGACAAAGGCAGAGGGAGAAGCAGGCTCCATGCAGGGAGCCCAACGCGGGACTTGATCCCGGGACCCCAGGATCGCGTCTTGGGCCAAAGGCAGGTGCCAAACCGCTAAGCCACCCAGGGATCCCCCTATCACAGAGTCTTTATCCAATATTCTATCAGTGGATTTTTAGGTTGCTTCCAACCTAAATGTTGTTTATCTTGGCTATTGAAAGAAGGCTGCAATGATCATGGTGCTGCATGTATCTTTTTCACTTACTGTTTTCATTTTCTTTGGATAAATACCCAGAAGGGGAATTGCTGGATTATAGAATAGTTCTCTTTTTAATTTTTTGAGGAACCTCCTCACTGTTGTCCATAGTGGCTGCACCAGTTTACGTTCCCACCAACACTGCAGGAGGGTTCCCTTTTCTCCCGATTGTCACCAACACGTTATTTTCTAGTTTTTCTGATAACAGCTATTTTAACAGGTTTAAGGTAATATCTCATTGTGGTTTTGATTTGCATTTCCATGATGATTAATCATGTAGAGCATCTGTTCATGTCCTTGTTGGCCATTTTTTTATCTTCTTACGAAAAATGTCTATTCAGATCTTTTACCCATATTTAGTTGGGTCATTTTTTTTTTTTTTTTTTTGCTGTTGAATTGTGTGACTTCATTATATATTTTAGATATTTACCTCTTATTAGATACATGATTTGCAAATATTTTCTCCATTTCGGCATGTTGCTTTTTCATTTTGTTCTTCATTTGTTCATTTCATCCATAATTTCTCTAAAATTTAGTGTCTAAAAAAATAAGGACTCTTAAAGCATAACTATTCTACCATTATCACACTTATACCAAATGAACAATATTTTCTTATATTTTTCAATGCCAATCAATGCTAAATTTCCCCATGTATCTCATAACTTAGATTGTGCAAATTGTGATAAAGTCGAAGTATTGCAATGAAATGATGTCTCTAAAGCCTCCTTTAACCTAGAGATTCTGACTCTGTCTCTCCCTATTCCCCAATTTATTTGTCGATCAAACTGAATCATTTGTTCTGTTGAATTTTGTGCAATCTGAATTTTCATGACATACACACACCCCTAATCCCAGTGGTGTCATGTAACATATTCCTCTGTCTGCTGTGTTTTCTGTGAATTGCTAGCTAAATCTAGAAGCTTGATCAAATGTTAGATTCAAGTTTGATTTTGTTTTGTTTTGTTTTGTTTTGGCTAGAATACTTAGAGCTGTCATTGTGAACATCTGTTAAGATATACTGATGACCACTGTCTAGATTCATCATTTCCCTAGGAGTTGTCAAAGGGTGATACTCTAATTCTCTCATTATTTTTTCATTTATTGACTGGAATCCACCTAAAAGAGGTACTTTATCTTTAATCAACCCCAAAGTACAGTTCCTTCCTATGAGGACGTGAGGATGAGTATTTTTTTTTCAGTTATTGACTAATTTTTTTTTATAAATTAATTTTTATTGGTGTTCAATTTACCAACATACAGAATAACACCCAGTGCTCATCCCGTCAAGTGTCCCCCTCAGTGCCCGTCACCCATTCACCCCCACCCCCCGCCCTCCTCCCCCTCCACCACCCCTAGTTCATTTCCCAGAGTTAGAAGTTTTTATGTTTTGTCTCCCTTTTTGATATTTCTCACACATTTCTTCTCCCTTCCCTTATATTCCCTTTCACTATTATTCATATTCCCCAAATGAATGAGAACATACACTGTTTGCCCTTCTCCGGTTACTGTGGCCAAGTTCAAAAAGGGTGTTGCCTGAGTTCTCCTCTGGGATTTTGATGGAATCTTGTCTCACATTTAGATCTTTCATCTATTTTGAGTTTATCTTTGTGTATGGTGCAAGAGAGTGGTCCAGTTTCATTCTTCTGCATGTGGATGTCCAATTTTCCCAGCACCATCTATTGAAGAGACTGTCTTTCTTCCAGTGGATCGTCTTTCCTCCTTTATCGTATATTAGTTGACCATAAAGTTCAGGGTCCACTTCTGGGTTCTCTGTTCTGTTCCATTGATCTATATGTCTGTTTTTGTGCCAGTACCACACTGTCTTGATGAACACAGCTTTGTAGTACAACCTGAAATCTGGCATTGTGATGCCCCCAGATATGGTTTTCTTTTTTAAAATTCCCCTGGCTGTTCGGGGTCTTTTCTGATTCCACACAAATCTTAAAATAACTTGTTCTAAGTCTCTGAAGAAAGTCCATGGTATTTTGATAGGGATTGCATTATACGTGTAAATTGCCCTGGGTAAAATTGACATTTTCACAATATTAATGCTGCCAATCCATGAGCATGGAATATTTTTCCATCTCTTTGTGTCTTCCTCAATTTCTTTCAGAAGTGTTCTATAGTCTTTAGGATATATTTTGAGAACCATTTGAATGGTAAATGGTTCTCCAACCTTTTATTTTCAGGTTGTAGGTGTCTTTCTGTCTAAAATGAGTCTCTTGTAGACAGCAAATAGATGGGTCCTGCTTTTTTATCCAGTCTGAAACCCTGCGCCTTTTGATGGGGTCATTAAGCCCATTCACGTTCAGAGTTACT